CTCATGATAGATCGATAATGCATTGGGTCTTCTCAGTCAGCTGAGTTTTTAGTAAGCAGATTATCAATCGCGTTGAGAATAGCATGATCGATGTAGGACCAGTAGATATAAAACTATCATGATTGATCGTCAATCGATATATCATCTGAGTTTTTAGTAAGCCCATTCCCTGCTTATCGTGCAATAAGTTATGAATTAGTTGAATAACAGTTATTCACAGATGTTAACTGCACGATCGATAGACGATCAGTAGACAAAAACCTTAGCTTTTGTTTAGTATACAATTGTTCATGTCATTCCTTACTGATCATTTGAGAATTCACAATAAATCTGCAACGTTAAGAAGCATGTTCGGTCTACGATCAGATAGATCTTTACGGATCATTTGAACTGTTACGGATCAGGAGATTACAAAGTTTCAAAGCATATGAAATACGTGGAAAAGTTTGTTAAATTTAAGAACGATACAATCAATAAGACATGATCAACGAAGCCCGATATGAATAGGACGAGATGGTTCCACAGAATAGGTAAGTCAAGATCAATGAAATCTAACGAGAAGGTTCCTCAGAATAACCAAGTCGGAAGATATAATGATCATTTTTGGAAGACTAAAGACAGACGAATATAAAATTGGAGTAATTTAAGAAGGATACAATCAATAAGACATTATCAGTGAAACCTGATGAGAAGAGGAGGGTTACTGAGAATAAGAAAGTTAAAATTTGAAGAAATGGATTCAGACAGATGTAGAGCGTACGCAGAGAACAGTTAAATACTGGAAAAATTTCTCTTTCAGTTCCTAAGTAGATTTAGAGATGCACATGAAATAATTCCCTAAAAATGAGAACACGATCAAAGAAGCCCGACGTAAATAGGACGATGGAATTCCTCAGAATAAGTAACTCAATAAAGTTCCAATTAATTTTGACAATGGAAACGGAATCTCCTCTAAAACCAAAGACAACTCTGCAAAGCCCTTCAAACCCATCGTTCCCATTGTGGCAACCTAAAACTTTCGAAATCTTTATTTATAATCCAATTAAGATTAAAATTGAAGAAATAATCTAAAAACAATCATATGTTTAGAACAAATTTATTACTAAAAAAACATTATTAAATAATAATAATTATAACAAATAATATAAATTATTGTAATTTTTCCAGTTCTTTTATTCTCATTTCTAGTTCCACCTTTTTTATGGCCATATTCAGTTGATGTTCAGCCTCCTTCATGGCCAAAGATTTTGTTTTAATCTCAATTAAATGATCCAATTTCTGTAAAACCTCTTTGTGATACTCTTCGGTAGCTTTAACACTTATTTGTAGTTCTATATTTTTAATTTCCATATTAAGTTTATGTTCAGCTTCTTTCATAGCCAAAGATTTGGTTTTTATAGCGATTAAATTATCTAATTTTTGTAAGATCGATTGATAGTAGTCTTTAGCAGTTAGATCTAACTCTAACTTGATTTCCTTAAGAGGAGTTTTGTTTAAAACTTCATCATCAGAAATGCTGAGATCTTGTTCAGGAGGAAGTATACTGCTGGACATTCTTTCTTCATAGGTTTTCTTATTAGGCAATTTATCAAAAGAAACTTTCTTTTTAATATTTTGCTTTTGAGCGCGATATACCTAAAGTAAATTTGTTAGTAGGGAATTTGATATTAACTAGTTTATCACACCTGGCGCCATGATTTCGAATCCTTTATAGGCGGCCCAATAGCATTTAGTTTCGCTGTTAGATTTTCCCATAATCTATTGGTCTGTACTTTGCCCTGACCATAGTTTAGTATAATCCCTTTGCTAAAATCTTTATAAGCCGCTATAAATTCATTTAGAATTTCACTTTGTGCTGAATTTATCTGTGTTATATGTGACCTATATGGAGAATTGCGAAAGGTTTAGTAATACTAGACTGAAAATACTTACATTTCTTGCATATTTACAGAAGTTAAATGTTATATTTACAGATAATTTTGGGTGAAAATAAAAATATTTTTCAGTCCATGAATATGTGGCGTGCAATTGTCTGAATATTTTTTAATTTAAATCAAAATTTCATATGATCAAAAGAAATTTTGATCTTGTTTGCGATCATATAACTCATATGATCGGTACACCTGCATGCAATTTTATAATTTTTAGATAATACAGTTAATTTTGATAAAAATCACTTGAGAACCTATGAGGTTCGCTATGGACCTATATCCTAAAACTCTTGAATTTTACACATTGTTCTTGAAAAAGATCATATAAAGAATCATGCTATAGTTTTGTAGGAAGAATAAGTTTAAGATTAACATGCTTCCTTTTTTTCTGAATTAACTTTTTCTTAACCTTTTAGATAAAACTATACATATACATATAAGTAGTTTAGTCTTTAATAAAATAACAACGAAATTTAAATAAATATTTGCATATTAAAATTGAAACTAAAATTCTTATTCATTGTTTGATTGCTCCACCCATCAATGCCATCATACACTTAAAGAAATAAATGCGCAAAATATCTAGTATATTAAATTATTTTTGCTCTAGAAGAAATTTCAATTTAATTTAATTCAAATTTTCTTTCAACGAACGTATTTTGTTTATAATATATTTAGACATTAGGGTGGTTCTCTTTTGACCTGATATAAAAACTATACGATTTGTAAGCGATCATTAGGACTGATCATATATTTCCTAATAATCTTACATGTGCGACAAGTATTCTTTGCACAAGACAAAACTATGATTTACTTTTCTAATTGTTGGTCAAATTATTGATTATAAGATTAAAACGGTATGATCTGTACGCGATCATAAAGTTAAACGATCTATTCACAATCAATGATCATCAGAGATAAAACTCCTAGAGTAATTTTTTTGCCAGTTGATTCAAATTTTGTGTTTAGGATACGATACGATCATCATACGATACGCGATCAGTCGTTCCAAAGTTAAATGTTAAACGATCTATTCACGATCAATGATCATCAGAGATAAAACTCCTTGCGTAATTTGATCGAATTTTTGCCAGTTGATTCAAATTTTGTGTTTAGGATACGATACGACGATATAATCTGATCTGTACGCGATCAGCCGTTCCAAAGTTAAATGTTAAACGATCTATTCAATCAATCAATGATCATCAGAGATAAAACTCCTAGCGTAATTTGATCGAATTTTTGCCAGTTAATTCAAATTTTGTGTTTAAGATACGTTACGACGATATAATCTGATCTGTACGCGATCAGTCGTTCCAAAGTTAAATGTTAAACGATCTATTCACGATCAATGATCATCAGAGATGAAACTCCTTGCGTAATTTGATCGAATGTTTGCCAGTTGATTCAAATTTTGTGTTTAGGATACGATACGACGATATAATCTGATCTGTACGCGATCAGTCGTTCCAAAGTTAAATGTTAAACGATCTATTCACGATCAATGATCATCAGAGATAAAACTCCTTGCGTAATTTGATCGAATTTTTGCCAGTTGATTAAAATTTTGTGTTTAGGATACGATACGACGATATAATCTGATCAGTCGTTCAAAAGTTTTATTATTCGCGATCAATGATCGTCAGACATGAAACTCTTTGCGTGATTTGATCTCATTTTTGTCAGTCACTTCTATGATACTGTTTGCGAGGTTTTTATCAAGGTTCTATGATTGTCGTTCAAGGTTATTCACGATCAAGCTACGAAAAATTACCATTCCAGAAGATCAACCATAAGTTACGTGCGGAATTGTTGGTCAAAAACTTGGATAAAAGATGGAAACGAATATGATTTGTGCTCGATCAGCAACACTGATCATAACTTTATTGCAAAAGATAAATCATGATTTACAGATGGAATTGTTGATCTAAAAGTTTGTCATAAGATTAAGATGATGTCTACGCGATCAGTCATTCTAAAGTTTTTAGATTTCAAAGTTAAACGTTAAGTGATCTATACGCGATCAATGATTGTCAGACATAAAACTCTTTACGCGATTTGATCTCATTTGTGTCAGTTGCATTTGCTGTGTCATATGATCTCTTCCCGATCAACCATTCTAAAGTTTTTTTTTTATTTTAAAATTAATCGTTGATTGATCTATTCGCGATCAATGATCGTCCGACATAAAACTCTTTACGCGATTTGATCTCATTTGTGTCAGTTACTTCTATGCTACTTTTTGTGAGTTATCTGTACAGGTTCTACGATTGTCGTTAAAGGTTAATCACGATTGATCTACGATCAAATAATACGTAATGTACGAAAATTCATCATTCCAAAAGATCAATCATGATTTACACATGGAATTGTTGATCAAAAAGTTTGTCATAAGATTAAGACGATATGATCTTTGTGCGATCAGTCATTCTAAAGTTTCTTGATTTTGAATTTGAAACGTTGAACGATCTATTCGCCATCAATGATCATCAGACAAAATCAGTCGCACTAATCATATCTTTCCTAATATCTATGGAGAAGATATGACTAATGAGAAATTTCCATATCAGAAGATAAATCATGAGTTACATAGCTGATCAAAAAGTTGGTCATAAAATGAAATCGATATGATCAGTGTGTGATCAGTCGTTCTAAAGTTGTTTGTTTCTAATGTCAAGTAGGCGTATAAATTAAAGGTAAGTGCAGTCAATTTGTTTTACATTGGCGACCTTCTATAACTGAGTATAGTGCCGATCGCGGACACTAATAATTATCATAAACTGGTATTGTAGTTGGCTGGGAATCGAACCAAGATCGCAATTGCCATATCCTACTTAGTGATCAACGCAATCTACACCTTAGCTACAGCGTCCTCATTTTAGAGAATAGAAGGATAATGAAATTAACAATCCAAAAACCTGATTCCCCTTGATTTGACACACATTTTATGGAGACACTATTCGAATTTTAAAACAACCCCTCGAATTAAAATATTTAAACAAAATTCTACTTAATTTTAAAAAAGTTATCAAAAAATGAAATTTAAAGAATTTACAACATACAACTTACCTTTCAGTCTCTGTTTCCGTATTTTGTTGTAATTGCTGTTGCGTGGCTTGTAGTTGTTGTGATGATGTAGATGGTTGCTGTTGCGGTGGTTGCATTTGTTGTTGCTGCTGCTGTTGCTGTAAAACTGTTTGATTATCAATATTGGTAGTAGTATTATTGTTATTATTAATGTTGTTATTGCTGTTGCTAGCAATATTTGTTGGTAATGGAGCATTAGAAGAAGTTATTGGTATAATTGTAGCTGTCGTAATGGGATTTAAATTAACAGTACTATTGCTACTATTGGCACTAACACTTGTTGGAGGAGCACTATCGATAGGTAATTGTGGTTGTTGTTGTTGTTGAAGTTGTTGTGGCTGCTGTTGTTGCTGCTGGTGATATTGCTGAGGTGGAGCATTGACATTTGTAGGTTGCATCATGATATTGGTAGGACCAGCCATTGTATTGGTTGTTGTCGTTTGCTGTTGTTGTTGTTGCTGCTGCTGTTGCAATGTGGCCAATAAGGCTGAATTGTCCAACATAGTTGCCGGAGCACTTTGTTGCTGTTGTAATTGATGTTGTTGTTGTTGCTGCTGATGTTGTATATCATAACTGGTCATTTGTGTAAGAATGGGCATAGTTTGTCCTGGAGCTAGAGGCTGTTGCTGTTGTTGCAACTGCTGGAATTGTGGTGGAAGTTGTGGTTGCTGTTGTTGTTGTGGGACTTGTGCATGCGACTGCTGTTGTTGTTGCTGTTGCATTTGCTGTATATTAGCAACAGCTGCCAAGTTTTGCATATTAGTCACTCCATCGGTTTGTGAAGATTGCTGCTGCAATTGAGTTGGCGCTGGTTGTTGCTGTTGTAGATTAGCCTGTTGCATTTGCTGTGGAATCTGTTGCTGAGCCATCTGTTGTTGGACTTGTTGCTGTTGCATGACTTGTCCGGCTTCTTGCATTTGTGGTGACTGTTGTGGTGGTGTTTGTTGTGGTGTAGTTTGGAAACTAGCGGCCACAAAGCTAGGTGGTACCTGCATCTGCTGTGGAGCCGGCGACATGGGCTGCTGTTGCTGTGCTTCTACGCTATAACCCAAACTTTGTGTCTGCTGTTGAGCCTCAACCATCATTTGTTGTTGCTGTCCAGCACCAGCCATATTATTGTTATCCGTAGCAATGGAAATGTTACCATTTTGCATACTTATATTGCCTGGTAAAGAGGCAGCATGTTGAGCATGCTGCTGTTGCATGGCTAACTGCTGTGGCTGTTGCATGGGTACCTGCTGCTGTTGTTGTTGCTGCATGGCTTCAGCAAAATTGACTGTTTGCGATTGCCCCGGCATATAGACACCACTAGCCGCAGCTGCAGCCTTTTCGGAGGCTGCTATGGCTTCTTCTTGTTTCTTTAACTCTTCCAATGATTTTTTGAGTTTTTGAGCTGCTACAGTAGCATAATCCATGGGCACTGTAGGTTGTACCACTTCGGGAGGAGCTTGAGCCGTCATTGTCATTTGTGGTGTGGCGTTTGCATTAACCTCTTGCGGAGGTGTCTGATACTGCTGCTCTTGTTGCATCAACTGCTGGGTCTGCTGATCTTCCGAAGTCTCCACAAATTGCTGCATACCATGCACCACGGTGGCGGGAGCAGTAGCTATACCACCGCCACCTACATTAACATTGGTATCCGGGAAATTCCAATTACCATCTGCCGTGGGTGCAACCGAGTTGTCTATATGATTTTCCATAGCTGCAGCAGCGCCTGGTCCCAATATCATACTTTGTGTGGTTTTCGTTTTTTGTTCACCACTATCCACACCTCCTCCGGTCTCAGTCTTTTCATTGTTATTGCCTGCACCACCGCTACTGGCATCCTCTTTGCCTGTTACACTACTGCTGTGATCCAGATAGTCCATACAAACCCAACGGCCACGACGAAACGGTTCAGTGGATTCAATTTTAACCACCTTAAAACGTTCACTACGATGCTGGGCCGAGTCTTTAAGATCCTCCTTTTTAATACCACTGCCACTGGGTACCACATTAATGAAATTATCACCAACATTTACTTGAACATTGGAGATGTCCTGAGCGCCCAAAGTGGCCACTACTAGACCATACTGCGAACTGGTTGGTATAACCGGAGCGGTGCTACTTAAGGCATCATCTTGATGATAGTAGATCTCCTCCTTGGAAAACGTGTCCTCCGACATGGAAGGTGTTTCATTCTCCAAATCTGTGATGCGACTATTGTCATCAGTATGAGATTCATCGAGATCATCGGCCGACTCTTCTTCTCCATTGTCGGCTGCCACCTGAGCCTTTGGATGACCAACCGTTACGGAAGTTATTTGAAACGATGAAGTAGTCTTTGGCTTACGAGCGCCACCAGTGTTGTGGCCATGGCCGTGACCATGACCCTGTATGTGACCATGACTGTGATGACTACGTGAAGCATGAGAGCTGCCGGCTACAGCCGAAGCAATGCTATTATTGTTATTGGGCGAAGAAGCCTTTGAAGAAGCCGACGATGACTTGGACGTAGTAGATTTGCTATGGCTAGCATTGGTGCTAGTCGATTTAGGTGCAACCGAAGCTGAACTTGAGCTGTTATTAGTCAAATTTGAATGAATGCTGCTATTGCTGGTGGCATTTGAAAGAGTATCACCACCACCAACACCAGCACCGGTAGCGGCAGCACCATGACCCACACTAACGGGTGGTAGAGCATTCAAACGAAGACTTTCACTTGTGGTACGATGTATGGCTGTTGAATTACTATTGGTGCCACCCGAAGATGAAGAATTGTTTTGATGATGGTGATGATGATGATTCGTCATACTGTTGTGTTGATGATGATGATGGTGATGTTGCTGCTGTTGTTGCAAGTGATGTTTATCCGTATTATTCTTTTCGCCATTACCAGTAGCAGTACCAGTACTGCCGGTCAACGAGTTCATTTTAGTAAGTGTCGGCTTTTTAATGGACGTAGTGCTGGCGGCTCTAATGGGCGCTGTAGCGGACTGTATGGTATTACGTCGTACGGCCTTAATTTTGGTATTTAAGTGGCGATCAATCATGCTGCGTGCCTGCTGTTGGCCCTGCTGCTGTTGTGTTGATTGCTGTTGTTGTTGTTGTTGTTGATGGTGATTGGCAATAACAATGGTTTGAGGTTCTTCGGGCGATGAAGCGGAATTATTTTCGTTTGGTGGCGTTGTGGGCGATGTTAGAGCCGACGATAGTTCTTCGGAATTTTGTGTTGATAATGTGTGTGAATTATCGTTGTGTGAGTGTTGCTGCTGTTGCTGATTGTGTTGATGGGGATGCGTTTGTTGTTGTGTAGTTGACTGTTGACCGGAATCTTCTGTTGCGGTTTGATTCTCGGCCATAATCGGATTTTTAAGCGTGCGCAACGTTTTCAGCAGCAAATCCAGGGTCGTTGTTTTTACTTTAACTCTAACCCGGGTCGTAAATTGAAGAAGGTTTTAGTTTTTCTTTTTTTTCGAAGCGGAAATGTATAATTTAGAGAGTAAGGGAGTTTTAAAGTTTTTTTTTTTTTTTATTTCTAAGTTTGTTTTTAATATAAATTTAACTATTATTTTTTAAATTTAAAGAAAAACTTTTAGTTTTTTGTTTACGACGAAGAACTGTGCAATGTTCTTAGTTTAAAATGATTATGATTTACTGAACGTTTTACTTGGAGCTGATTTGTTTGGCGTTTTGGACTGTTGTCTGAATGTATGTATGATCAATCTTGTTCTCTAGCTCTCGATTTTTCACTGTTTTTTTTTCCAAGTTGTTGTTATTTTGTGGATGAGGTTAAACAAACACACAAAATAAGTAAAAAAAAATAAATTAGATTTAATTGAATTTGATCAACACACTAAAGATCATACACTTTTTTATTATTGTTGTTGTTGTTGTGGTAGTAATAACTATTATTATTCACTCAAAAAATAAAACTATCATCATGATCATGAAGACACAATAAACAAACTTAACATAAGCGACGGCGACAACGATAACGACGACGACGACGACGACAATAACGATAACGTTAACGGTAAAGATCGCGCACGCGACGTTTTTAATAACGATATTGTTTTAACAGACGTAAATCTTAACAGAAACGTAAGCGAAAACGTTTGCAATAAATGTTCTACGCTTAGAAGGGCGTTCACTTTACGTTTACTTTTATAACGTTTAACTACGCGACAATATTTTCGATACATATTGTATTGAAGGCATTGTTGGGGCAACGTTTATTAACGATGGCATAGCTTAAACGTAATTGAAACGACTGCATTACCGTAAATTTCGATACGTTACGAAATTTTTAAACCGTACACAACAAAAACAAATACAAATTTGTATAACGTTGTGTTTAAATTAACGTTATTTGCCAATGATGATGATGATGTTGACGATTTCTCTTTTTTATCTTTGACAATCACTCTCTCTCTCTCTCTCGAGCTTGCTATAGCTTAAGTTAGTTTAGCAGAGAGAGGGGGGGGTTTTAAAAGAAGATCAGGGCGAAATTGTTGTCTGGGGTGGTAAATTTTTATTGTTCAAATGATGCTGTGTTTGTTGTTGTGGGTTTGTCGTTGTTGTGATGAATTGTTGTTGTTGTTGTTGTGGTTTGAATAGTAGAGAGTTGTGTATTGCTGTTATTTAGCTTACTTTTCATTTAATAGTAATAATAATAATAATGACGATGACGACGTTATTGTTGTTGTTGTTGATGATTATAATAATGATGATGATGACACCATAAAAAATAAATTTTTCTAATTTTTTTTATATGTATTATTATTATTTATATTTTAACTACGTTTTAACCTTTATCAAAGCCACATTTTTATTATTTTAAATTGATTTAGTGGTTCTGTTATGTGTTGAGGTTTTAGGGGGTGTTTGTTGAATTTGATTCTTTTCTTTTTTTTTTTTTAATATATTTTGTATTATTTTATTAAAAATTTTCTTTTAGAAATTTTATTTATTTATTTTTTTAAACTAATATGACTTTGTTATGCTGCTGTCTTTATTGTTGTGTGTTGTCAATTTAATATTTCTTTTTTTATGACATTAAATTATGTTTTATAATATATTCTTCATAAAAAAACTAAACACAAATTTCTGTAGATCATTTAAAAGCTTAAGGAAAAGTAACTCAAAAGAAGAATTTTTTCAATTGTAGTAGAACAGCGAGGGGGTTAGTATAATTTTTTTTAATTTTATAAATTTTTAAACTAAAATAGCTATTTTTTAATAATTTATTTAAAATAAACACTTAAAATATCTATTAGAATATTATTTATTTATTTATTTTTTTTGGCCAAATTGTTAAACACTTTAGCTTTTTTTTTTTGAAATAAATTCTTTGTGGTAAAATTATAATTTTGTTTTAACACTCTAGATGATTAAATTTATTTATTTTTTTTTAGTTTTTATAAAAAAAAATTCACTAGATTATATGTTGTTTTTTAATGGAGCGAAAAATGTATTAAAGTTGCCGTTTTATTTTGCGTTAAGTAGTAACTGTAACGAAAGAGAAAAGTAAAAGAAGTAAATAATTAATAATTTATTAAGTTAAGTATCTTTGCTATAAATAAGAAATTTGCTTATTTTTAAGTGAATTTTTCAACTTTTAAAAATAAACATTTTGCTTTATTAAGTGTGTTTTTATGTTGATGTCTTTCGAAAATTTACTTAGTTAAATGCTCAGTAAATTTGAATTTTATTTTTAAATTTTTGTTATTTATTTTTATAAAAAATTTTAGAATTTTTTTATATTATTGATTCTTTAAATTTACTTGTTTTGTTTTTGTTAGTAATGTAAATATTTTAACAATATCCCTTTTAGTTTAAGAAATAAATTGAAAGTGATGATGAATGAAAATCATAATTTTTTCACAAGTTATATTTTAAGAACTGAGAGGATGGTCTATATTACCCCGGGGCTTATAGATAACAAAGTTATTAACTAACTAACTAACTAACTAACTAACTAACTAACTAACTAACTAACTAACTAACTAACTAACTAACTAACTAACTAACTAACTAACTAACTAACTAACTAACTACTAACTACTAACTAACTAACTAACTAACTAACTAACTAACTACTAACTAACTAACTAACTAACTAACTAACTAACTAACTAACTAACTAACTAACTACTAACTAACTAACTAACTAACTAACTAACTAACTAACTAACTAACTACTAACTAACTAACTAACTACTAACTAACTAACTAACTAACTACTAACTAACTAAAACTAACTAACTACTAACTAACTACTAACTAACTAACTACTACAACTAACTAACTAACTAACTAACTAACTAACTACTAACTAACTAACTTAACTAACTAACTACTAACTAACTAACTACTAACTAACTAACTAACTAACTAACTACTAACTACTAACTAACTAACTAACTACTAACTAACTAACTACTAACTAACTAACTAACTAACTAACTAACTAACTAACTACTAACTAACTAACTAACTAACTAACTAACTAACTAACTAACTAACTAACTAACTAACTAAATACTAACTAACTAACTAACTAACTACTAACTAACTAACTAACTAACTACTAACTAACTAAACTAACTACTAACTAACTAACTAACTAACACTAACTAACTAACTAACTAACTAACTAACTAACTACTAACTAACTAACTACTAACTAACTAACTAACTAACTAACTAACTAACTAACTAACTAACTAACTAACTAACTAACTAACTAACTAACTAACTAACTAACTAACTAACTAACTAACTAACTAACTAACTAACTAACTAACTAACTAACTAACTAACTAACTAACTAACTAACTAACTAACTAACTAACTAACTAACTAACTAACTAACTAACTAACTAACTAACTAACTAACTAACTAACTAACTACTAACTAACTAACTAACTAACTAACTAACTAACTAACTAACTACTAACTAACTAACTAACTAACTAACTAACTAACTAACTAACTAACTAACTAACTAACTAACTAACTAACTAACTAACTAACTAACTAACTACTAACTAACTAACTAACTAACTAACTAACTAACTAACTAACTACTAACTAACTAACTAACTAACTAACTAACTACTAACTAACTAACTAACTAACTAACTAACTAACTAACTAACTAACTAACTAACTAACTAACTAACTAACTAACTAACTAACTAACTAACTAACTAACTAACTAACTAACTAACTAACTAACTAACTAACTAACTAACTAACTAAACTAACTAACTAACTAACTAACTAACTAACTAACTAACTAACTAACTAACTACTAACTAACTAACTAACTAACTAACTAACTAACTAACTAACTAACTAACTACTAACTAACTAACTAACTAACTAACTAACTAACTAACTAACTAACTAACTAACTAACTAACTAACTAACTAACTAACTAACTAACTAACTAACTAACTAACTAACTAACTAACTAACTAACTAACTAACTAACTAACTAACTAACTAACTACTAACTAACTAACTAACTAACTAACTAACTAACTAACTAACTAACTAACTACTAACTAACTAACTAACTAACTACTAACTAACTAACTAACTAACTAACTAACTAACTAACTAACTAACTAACTAACTAACTAACTAACTAACTACTAACTAACTAACTACTAACTAACTAACTACACTAACTAACTAACTAACTAACTAACTAACTAACTAACTAACTAACTAACTAACTAACTAACTAACTAACTAACACTAACTAACTAACTAACTAACTAACTAACTACTAACTAACTAACTAACTACTAACTAACTAACTACTAACTAACTAACTAACTAACTAACTAACTACTAACTAAACTAACTAACTAACTACTACTAACTAACTAACTAACTAACTAACTAACTAACTAACTACTAACTAACTAACTACTTAACTAACTAACTAAACTAACTAACTAACTAACTAACTAAACTAACTAACTACTAACTAACTAACTAACTAACTAACTAACTAACTAACTACTAACTAACTAACTAATAACTAACTACCTAACTAAACTAACTAACTAACTAACGAACTAACTAACTAACTAACTAACTACTAACTAACTAACTAACTAACTAACTAACTAACTAACTACTAACTAACTAACTAACTAACTAACTAACTAACTAACTAACTAACTAACTAACTAACAACTAACTAACTAACTAACTAACTACAACTAACTAACTAACTAACTAACTAACTAACTAACTAACTAACTAACTAACTAACTAACTAACTACTACTAACTAACTAACTAACTAACTAACTAACTAACTAACTAACTAACTAACTAACTAACAAACTAACTAACTAACTAACTAACTAACTAACTAACTAACTAAAGTTTCAGATTGACTCCCCGCGGACCAAAAACTGGAAAAAAACAACATGGAAAAGAAAAATAAAAAGATGAAAGTTACGGTGCTGGGCCTAAATAACTCAGTACCGGCGGCAAGTGTTGATCCACTCACGAGTCACGTGTCGCCGTCATCCTGCAATCGTGAGCAAAATACTACTACGGAGGTGGGTACCTTGGCCTCCGTGGCGGACAATTCGTCAAGTGTACAGCATGCCATTGGCAAAAACATAGGGGTGAAGGAGAAGGATGTACTCGGAGAGAGCTCTAAGCTTTTAAATATAGGTGAGGGTTCCGACTCTGAATCCTCAGATGATAATAACAACACCATTATAGCAAATCCCAAAAAGGATGAAGTAGAGCAAATGGTGAAACAGGTGACTGGAGGTAACTGGAGCACAGAGGAGGAAGTTGAAAAAGATGCTTCAGGAAATCATAGTTAGTCATTCCTACGACTTATTCTATAGTCTAGTCTATAGTCTAGTCTATAGTCTAGTCTACAGTCTAGTCTACAGTCTAGTTTATAGTCTAATCTATAGTCTAGTCTATAGTCTAGTCTATAGTCTAGTCTATAGTCTAGTCCATAGTCTAGTCTACAGTCTAGTCTATAGTCTAGTCTATAGTCTAGTCTATAGTCTAGTGTATAGTCTAGTCTATAGTCTAGTGTATAGTCTAGTCTATAGTCTAGTGTATAGTCTAGTCTATAGTCTAGTGTATAGTCTAGTCTATAGTCTAGTGTATAGTCTAGTCTATAGTCTAGTCTATAGTCTAGTCTATAGTCTAGTCTATAGTCTAGTCTATAGTCTAGTCTATAGTCTAGTCTATAGTCTAGTCTATAGTCTAGTCTATAGTCTAGTCTATAGTCTAGTCTATAGTCTAGTCTATAGTCTAGTCTATAGTCTAGTCTATAGTCTAGTCTATAGTCTAGTCTATAGTCTAGTCTATAGTCTAGTCTATAGTCTAGTCTATAGTCTAGTCTATAGTCTAGTCTATAGTCTAGTCTATAGTCTAGTCTATAGTCTAGTCTATAGTCTAGTCTATAGTCTAGTCTATAGTCTAGTCTATAGTCTAGTCTATAGTCTAGTCTATAGTCTAGTCTATAGTCTAGTCTATAGTCTAGTCTATAGTCTAGTCTATAGTCTAGTCTATAGTCTAGTCTATAGTCTAGTCTATAGTCTAGTCTATAGTCTAGTCTATAGTCTAGTCTATAGTCTAGTCTATAGTCTAGTCTATAGTCTAGTCTATAGTCTAGTCTATAGTCTATAGTCTAGTCTAGTCTAGGTCTATGTCTAGTCTATAGTCTTAGTCTATAGTTAGTCTATAGTCTAGTCTATAGTCTAGTCTATAGTTCTAGGTCTTAGTCTAGTCTCTAGTCTAGTCTAGTCTAGTCTTAGACTAGTCTATAGTCTAGTCTATAGTCTATAGTCTATAGTCTAGTCTATAGTCTAGTCTATAGTCTAGTCTATAGTCTCGTCTATAAGTCTAGTCTATAGTCTAGTCTATAGTCTGTCTATAGTCTAGTCATAGCTCTAGTCTATAGTCTAGTCTATAGTCTAGTCATAGTCTAGTCTATAGTCTAGTCTAGTCTAGTCTATAGTCATAGTCTATAGTCTATCGTCTAGTCTATAGTCTAGCCTATAGTCTAGTCTATAGTCTAGTCTAGTCTATAGTCTAGTCTAGTCTAGTCTAGTCTAGTCTATAGTCTATAGTCTATAGTCTATAGTCTATAGTCTATAGTCTATAGTCTATAGTCTAGTCTATAGTCTAGTCTATAGTCTAGTCTATAGTCTAGTCTATAGTCTAGTCTAGTCTATAGTCTAGTCTAGTCTATAGTCTAGTCTATAGTCTAGTCTATAGTCTAGTCTATAGTCTAGTCTATAGTCTAGTCTATAGTCTAGTCTATAGTCTAGTCTATAGTCTAGCCTATAGTCTAGTCTATAGTCTAGTCTATAGTCTAGTCTATAGTCTAGTCTATAGTCTAGTCTATAGTCTAGTCTATAGTCTAGTCTATAGTCTAGCCTATAGTCTAGTCTATAGTCTAGTCTATAGTCTAGTCTATAGTCTATTCTATAGTCTAGTCTATAGT